GTATTTTTTGCATCCGTTTGTTTTTAATTTATTACTAGGATAAGACATGCGCCTTGCGCAGGGTGAATATATGTAATTAAAATATAAAATTTTAATATTACAAATTTAAAATTTACATATGATTGTTTTTATATGTATTTGAAATTTTAGAATTTTGGAATTTTGATATAATTATCTATATGTATGATCATAAACGATTCTAGTTAGAAGTGTAGATCAAAACCTAGAATTTAATGGGGACTTCATATATCTTTTCACTTTTCAGTGTTCGAGTGATGGAAAATAAACGGAGTGTCACNTTTCAGTTAAAATATATAAGTTTCAAAACTAATTTAATAAATTTATTTATTTGTCTATTAATATTAGAAAATTATATTTTTAAAATTTAAAAAATAATAATAATTTTATAAAAAATTAAGTTAAATTTTAATTTATTTTTAAAAACAATATTTGAGTTTTTCAAATACAAATAAAAAATTTAAAATTAGTTATCGTCATTATTTAGCATAACCATATGATTTAAAAATTTTAAAAATAAACAAATTAAACATTAACTCAGTTTTATATCATGATATAACAATCTAAAAACTAATTATGGTTATGAGAAGTTTACGTTCACGTGTCAATCCTATTTATCTTCAATTTTTTCTCTTGTTGTGTTTTTTTTTATTTTGGTTATTACTCGATATAAATACTTATTTTGAAGTTTATTCTTATTTTGTTTGTTTGTTTTGACCTCGGATTTAGAAAATACTTAAGATTTAAAATAATTAAAGAGATACATACTTAGGTTAAGATCTGCACTTTATGCAAAATAAATATTTTATAGTTATTTTATATTTTTTTTCATATTATAAAATAATAAATATATATATTAAATAACTAAGAAATCAGTTACTATTATCTAATAAATTGGCGTATGCATATAAATTTAACTATAACTCTTGTTTATTCGCAATTAGGGTAAATAAATCAAAATAATCAATCTTATATATTTTATATGATATATAATTAAGTTAAAATGATATAAACATATTAATATAGCACACTTTTAATATGGATATTTATTAAATGAGGTTTCTACTCACATTATTTTATGATTATTTGCATATTTGTGTAACAAAACTTTACACCAACGATTTTTTTTTTAATTTGAGATGTTTAGTAGTTATAATAATTTATAATCATTATTAAAAAAATTGACATATTTAAAAATTAAAATATTAAATTTTCAATATATGTTCAATGCAAATATCAAAATATAAGTATGTATTTTCATACGATGAATAGTTTAATTAAAACGATATGAAGTATATATAAATTAAAATTATTTCTTCATATGGTCATCATTATATTTTAATATAGAAAAAAAAAATTAAAACCTTGATCCTAAAATTTTATGTGAGACTTTTAACAGTTTTAGTAATTTATACTCATTTTAAAAAAAAAAAATCGAAATACAACATACACAAAAAGAAATCTAGATTTTTATTATATGATTAATGTAATTGTGTAATTTATTTTAATAATAAAGAAATAAACAAAATGAGAAAAATTATACATATTGTTATCAAATCTTTATTGTTTAAAGTCATTAATTGTCATATATATATTTTAATCATATTAGGTAATTCCGTAGGTTTTATTTAAGGAAAGCATGCGAAACAATAAATATTTGATATATGCGACCAACTATAGCCTAGGAAATATTATATTGCTAGAGAGTATAAATTTTAGACTATACATTATATCACATGCTCTAGAATCCTTGGAATTTGAAATAGAAGCCAGAGAGCTATGCCACATAGGATTGGGGTTATTTTAAATTATTACAAACTTAAGGTTACAACTTTTTAAATGATTCTCAAATAATATATAGGGGATTATCTAAATTTCATGTAATCAACTTTTAAAAACTTAAACATCACCGGATTAGTAATCATTCTTTAGATTTGATAGTATGTCTGGACAGCTGTTTTATTTATCATTCTTGTAATTTAAACGCATGAAACATTATTTCTGGAATCAGTTTTAACCAAAATTACATGAGAACTCTTTGGATTGTTCATTACGTTCTTATCTAAGAGGCTGTTAAAGTTTTGGTAACTGACCACTTATATGGCAGTCATTTTAAAACTTAGGAGGTGTTTGTTTTCTAATGTGGGGACTTCTTGGTGAGGTTCTTGGTCTCAAAATCTAAAATAAGCTCCAATGTTATTTATACTTTGTAGATCATATCTATCATCAAGATGCTTCTAACTAATCAGCCTTATATTGAAGTGTAGATGCATAAAAATCCATTCCATGGAATATCTTGACAGTAATAATAGTTCCACCAATTTTCAAAATGAAGAGAAAGAGAGAAGAGCCTTCTATAGTCACATGTTTGATGACCTCTGCTCTCCTTAGGGTTCCACTCAAAAAACACATAACCAAGTGATGACACATCATTACGGGTCCGTATCCTAAGTTTCGTTGACTTTTTCGGTTTTCATATTTGACTCCTTAATCTTTTGTTCCAGCATCCCTTTCTAGGGAGAGGTGGAGTAAGGCTACTTGAGCTCATTTTCACATTTGGAGATAAGAGGATAGGCTAGGAATAGGGTACAGAGGCGTAGGGGGAATGAAAGAATTTGATTAGTCATAATAGTGCTTTCAAAGTGAAAGATAAAGTAATGAATTCCTCTGCTTGCAACCTTCCTGATTTTCTTCGTCACCAACCATTTCCGTTGGCTCAAGCATAGCATCTTTTCCCCAAGCCCATTTCCTCCAGGATCGGTAGACCTGTAACAACCCATAACCAAACTCAAATGTTTTTTTTTTAGTATAATGGGCCCCCTACGGCCCAATTGCACACAAGACCTAGGGTTCCTACAACTCTAGTATAAAAAGGACCCTAGCCTCCACTTTTTGTCTTATTAGCAAACTGGAAGCGAAACTCTGCAGAGAAGTCCCGGAGACCGGAAACCCTAGCCATCAATCTCTCCCCCTCTCGCCGCCGCCCTCTCCTCTCTCTCTCTCTTCTCCGCGCCGCCTCTCTCTCTCTCCTCTCCCTCTCTTCTCGCCGCCTTCCTCTCTCTCTCCTCGCCGTGAGCCGGTGGTGGTGGTGGTTGTGTTGGGTGTGTGGAGATTCTCAGATCTCATCTCTCTTCCCTCTTGATTCCAGATCTAGATCTCAGATCTCTTGCTAAGGTGAGGTGATTCGAAACCCAGATCTGTTTCTCATAATCTCTATTCTGGTTGATGCGGGAATTAGGGTTTGGTTAGTCCTTGTCTGAAAGTTAAGTTGATATATCATAATGGGAGTTAAGTTGTTAGATGAATGAACCATGATGCATAAGAACCCTCACACTGCTTAAATGGGACTTAATGAACTGCCTTGTGTTGATGTGGATAATGATTGGTGATGAATGACTGTGTAACTGATTTGTGTCCCATTTGATGATTGTGAATGAAAGCTAGGTTGTTAGAAAGTAGTGAATACATAAGATGATAGTTCTGTTAATTGGTAACAGTTGTTTGAATGATGAAAGTAAAGTAATCTTCCCTTAGTTCTAAAGTGAAGGATAGATGAATATGAATGAGATGTCTCTTGGCTTTGGTGTATAAGAATATGAATGCTATGTGAATTATGTGAGACACCGATAACGGGTGGCGTCTAGAGTTGAGTATGAGTCTAAGTGTATGAGAATGAGATAAAATGAATTGAGTATGAGAATGAGAATGATAAAGAGTAAGAGTATGAGTATGAGTATGAGTATGAGTATGAGTATGAGTATGAGTATGAGTATGAGTATGAGTATGAGTATGAGTATGAGTATGAGTATGAGTATGAGTATGAGTATGAGTATGAGTATGAGTATGAGTATGAGTATGAGTATGAGTATGAGTATGAGTATGAGTATGAGTATGAGTATGAGTATGAGTATGAG